AGCACGCCCGCCAGCGCAGCACGGGTCGGCATGGGGCCAACTCGGAGCAGAAAACGCCTTCCGCTCCCCCCCTGCTAAGCGGAGAATGGAAATTTCCTTCCCTGGGAGCTCAGGCTATGAACTTCAAGGGCACAAAGTCCAGGAAGGAAGCTGGGCACAAACTTCACAGCTGCCCAGGCACTCAGCTGCACAGCGAGGTGGCCCAGGACCCACAGGGAGTGAGCCCCTCCCACTTGTCAGCAGCCACCCGAGTCCCTGGAACTCGCTCTAACACGGTGGGATCTGAGAGTGGACGGTAGGTGCTGTAACACAGGGCGGCATCGGAAAGGCCACCGCAGCCCAGGGAGCTTTGGTCAGACAGAGCAGAGGGGCCGGTGCTGTGGTGTAGCAGGTAAAGCCACTGCCTGCAGTGCCGGCATCCCATATGGGCGCCAGTTTGAGTCCCGGCTGCTGCACTTCCAATCCAGCTCTCTGCTGTGGCCTGGGAAAGCAGTAGAGGATGGCCCAAGTCCTTGGGCCCCTGCACCCACGTGGGAGGACCAGAAGAAGCTCCTGGCTCCTGACTTCGGATCAGCCCAGCTCTGGCTGTTGTGGTCATTTGGGAGTGAAACAGGATGAAGAGCTCCCGCTCTCTCTCTACCTCTCCTCTCTGTAACTCTTTGAAATAAAGAAATAAATCTTTAAAATAAATAACTAAACAGAGCAGCTATCAGGAACTGGCACCTGAGAAGCCCTGGCCCCGCTGGTGACGCACGCGCAGGAGCACTGCACCTGCAGCTCCCAACTGCTGAGCTCCCCTGGAACGCGGGCGGACTCCTGCGGACCAGCAGCCGAGGCCAGGCAGGTGGGCCACGCTCTCCAGCCCTCCCAGCCGCCCGGCTGTGGGGCACCCGTGCCACTTCCCGCCCCGGAGGAGCAGGCAAAGGCGGCCCCCGGGAGCCACGCACAGGTGAGGGCCCTTCCCGGCGGGGTGAGCGGAGCACTGCTCCACAGAGGCAGAGCTGCGACAGGAGAGGCTGGAGAGATGTGAAGTGCGAGGGACGGGGCAAGCCCCGGGAGGCACAGGGCAGCCTCCACGGCCACGCAGAACTGTGTCAACGGCCCCCCAGGAGCCTGAGGCAGGGCCCCCGAGCCCGGTTACGGCCGTGGGGAGGGGAGCAAAGCCTGGGGTGGGTCTCCTGGGAAACAAGCACGCCCAGCCCCCAACTCACATGACTGCGGGGGGCGGGGGGGTTCTGAGCTGCAGCCCAGAGGACCCTCGCCCTCCCAGGACCCCAGCCATCCTCACCCGCTGACAGGGTCCTCACCCGGTGACCCAAACCAGCCCCTCAGAGAGGAGCCTGTCCCTGCAGGCAAAGACAAGGAGAGTGCTGGAAAGAGATGACCTTGGCCTTCCAGGAGCCTGCCTAGGCTCCCAGTGGACATGGAAGACCAGGACTCCGGTCACTGAGCTCACTGCCTGAAACCAGCAAACACACTTGTGGGCGTTACCCCAGAGCAACAGCCACACACACACACACACACACACACACACACAGGAGCCTACCTCTTCAGAGCAGTTTTATCTGCAACGTGAAAATGTACAGCGAAAGTCAGGGGTTAAAGCCCATGGCGCAGCCACAGCAGGGCCTGCGGCACGGCAACGAGCAGGGAGCGGCCGGCACACGCTGCAGTGGGCCAAGGGCACGTGCACGGAGGCCCCTGTCCCACAGCTGGCTCCTCCTGCGCCCTGCAGAAGGTAAGCTCATTTGGCACACACACACATAAACTGAGTTTTCATCACAAGCATTCTCCCTGAACCCTGAAGTCCCCACAAAGGCTGTGAGATTCCACCTGCTCGTCATCTTCGAAGCCACAGCGCCAGAAATGGAGTTGGACTGCAGCCGGCAGCATTGCGGCGCTGGGGAGTGGCGGGGGCAGCCGGGCAGCGCGCGGGCACGAGCATGGACCGCCGGGCTTCCGTGCTGGACCGTCCCCAGCCCACGTGTCTGGACCTGGGACACTGTGAGCTTACGACAGTGCGAAAGCATCCACAAGCCAGGCCGCTGCACGTCACTCTGATACGTCCGTGGGCAGCGCGGCCGCTCTGAGCAGCACAAGCACCCACCCACATGGCCAGCTGTTCCCGAGAGACACTGACCAGCGCTGACCGCAGAGGGCGAGAGTGACGGGGGCAGCGCAGGGGCCCGAGGAGATGGGTGCTGTGCACACAAGCACTAACTTCCGCTCACACTATACCGAGACCGACCCGCCAACTGAACCAAATGTGCCTCACCCCCACGTGCGTGTGGCTGGTGGCAGGCATGGCTGGGTACGAACCACGTAGGAACTTCTGAACTGGCTCCACAATCAATCAAAACCCAATGAACGTCTCTGAAACCAGACAGACGCACTCCCCAAGGCTGCCACACACACACAGCCCAGGTAGACAGGTGCATACACACACAGCCCAGGTAGACAGGTGCACACACACACACAGCCCAGGTAGACAGGTGCACACACACACAGCCCGGGTAGACAGGTGCACACACACACAGCCCGGGTAGACAGGTGCACACACACACAGCCCGGGTAGACAGGTGCACACACACACACAGCCAGGTAGACAGGTGCACACACACACAGCCCGGGTAGACAGGTGCACACACACACACAGCCCGGGTAGACAGGTGCACACACACACACAGCCAGGTAGACAGGTGCATACACAGCCCAGGTAGACAGGTGCACACACACACAGCTCAGGTAGACAGGTGCACACACACACAGCCCAGGTAGACAGGTGCACACACACACACAGCCCAGGTAGACAGGTGCACACACAGCCCAGGTAAACAGGTGTGCACACACACAGCCTAGGTAAATGGGACGCATACAGGTACACACACACATGAACCAGGTAAACGAGACACATACAGGTACACACGCACATGAACCAGGTAAACGAGACACATACAGGTACACACGCACATGAACCAGGTAAATGAGACGCATACAGGTACACACGCACACAGACCGGGTAAACGGGACATATACAGGTGCAGGGCCCAAAAAAGCAGGTGCGTGCAGGTACAGGGTCTGGGGCACACAGCGAGCCCAGGTCTCACCCGACGCGCTCTCCACACGAGCTGCACACATTAGTCTCACGGCCTCCACGTGGATGGCAGTGGTCTGGGGGATGCCAAGGGTCAGCAGACAAGGCTGATGTCTGCTCATGTCCTGTGGGTGGCCACGTCAGCACGCATCGCTGGCCACAAAGCCACAGGGAGGGCACGGTGACAGCAGTGGTGGCCACGCTCCAGCCAGCTAACCTCCTGCTCCTTGAGCAGCCTCGTCACACACTGGTCTAAGTCCCCCAGACTCCCTGTGTAAGCCACACCCTACTGATGGCAACACTGGGAGGGGCCACGTGGTGCGATGAGTGTCCCTGTGAAAGGGGCCCCAAAGAGACCCCTTACTCCAACTGGGGGCACAGCGGGAAGGCGCAGACCTGCAGCCTGGGGTTGGGGGAGTCCGGGGGGAAGGTCAGGGGCAGCCCGAGCTCTCGGACTGGCCCTCTGCTCCGCACCCCTCATCACGGGGCACAGCGCGGCCTCCACCCCACGCTGCACGGTCAGCAGGCCAGGGTGCCCCCACGCCAGCACACACACAGCTGCTCCTGCTGCCGGGAGCCCACCTGGACGTTGCCTGTCCGTCCTGCTGTCCCGAGTCTGGACACCGACACTGGGTGCACCTTTATGTCCCCCTCCCCCGTGTGGTTCTGCAAACAGCTTTCGAGAGCAGTCAGCACTCCAGGTCTCTGCCTGCGCCACCACAGGCAGTGCCATGGGGCCACGGTGGCACCACCGACCCTGGCTGCAGCCGCCACCTCTCCCACAGGGCTGTGGCCAGGCAGGCACCTCCCCTGGGCCTCACACGCTCTGCAGGGGCTGCTGCCAGCAGTCACACCAGGGCGTGGGGGGCACACGCAGGGATGGGTAAGGCCCTCAGAATCTCGCTCCCATGCGTGCCCCAGCCGGGACCCCACAAACGATGGCGTCTTTGCCCGAGCAGCAGAGGCCAGGGTTGAGTAGCCCAGACATTTCTGGAGCAAGGCCAGAACCTCAGAGTCAGTGTCCAGAGCCTGGACAGTTGGCCCCGCCCATGCCCCAGGAGGCCCACAGGAGGCCAGGAGGACAGGGCCTTCCTGACAGACAAACAGGACACCTTCACCAAGGAGCGCCGGAAGTCACGAGGCGTCCCCTGAATACCTGCGCGTTTGGTTGCTAAGAAGCTTCAGAACCAGGAGGAACCCCAGCAAAGAGCCGAGGTCCTTGTCAGAAACGGCCAGGAACAGCGGGCTCCAGGCGAGCCTCAGGACAGGCGGTGGGCGCTCCGTCCTGCCACAGCTCGGGCCCACCGGCAGCGCTTCTGGTCCCACACGGAAGCTGCCTTCACGCCCCAGCAGCCTCTGCGCAAGGTGCCGGACACGAGAACAGGAAAGGGGTCATGCGGGACACAAGCCCACATCCCGCCCAGTGCATCTGGACACAGGGTGGCACTGCTTCCTTCCAAACCCAAGGCCACTGTCCCGTGCGCTCACTGCGGCTCACGGCAAGATGGCCACAAGGCCCACGGTGTCCAGCACGCTGACCACACAGCAGGAGACACAGGAGCCTGCAGAGGGTCGGCAGTGCCTGGGAAAGCTGCGCTGGGCCACGTCACCAGGCCGGAGGGAGGCCCACCAGTGCAAGAGGCGGGAGAGGAAGCAGGAACGGGGGACCCGCCCCCGGTTCTGAGCCCTGTGACAGGGAAGACGGCCTGGCACAGGTGTGGCAGTACAGGTCCAGGACGGGACCCTGCCGGCAACCCAGGGTGAGAACCCGACCAAACTGCAGGGCCCCGGGCAGCTCTGATCGAGGGACCCCTCTGCCCCCGGGGCTTCAGGTGTGCTTGGCTCCGCAGAGCCCTGCGAGGAAGTGGCCCTGGAGGAGGGGTCAGGAGCGCCCGTGGACCTGTACCTTCGTGAGCAGCAGGACGCGCTTCTGCAGCCTCCGGGCCAGCGCCTCGTGGGCCTCTCGCTTCTTCCTCTCCTCCAGCAGCTGCCCGCTGACCTGGCGCACCTCCTCCTGCAGCTGCTGCTGGGCCTTCTCCAGGGCCCGGGCGCTGGACGGGGAGAGGAGAGGCACAGTGGTGAGGCCCGGGGTGAGCGCCCCGCCGTGAGCCCTCCCGCACGCCCCAAAAGAGAGCTGCACGTGCAGCCAGCCGCCTCACCTCACTTCCTGGCTCCTGAATAGCCACTTAGCGCCTTTCAGGAGCTTCAGGATTTCAAACAGGCACCCAGGGTGATCCCAGAACGCGGAGGGAGAGGGAGGGGAGCTCCGCTCCACACACAATGGGCAAGATTGTCAGCCACCAGCGCTGCGGGACGGGGCTGGTGAATGAGCTAAATTGCCAGCGCAGCAAAACCCACGAGACTCGGTGCAGCTGTGCGGAGACGGAGCCGCGCCCACGGCCGCACCAGCATGGACAGCAGCTCCTCCTGCAGGGCTGGCGGGGAGCTCACGGCGTGCCTGCCCAGGCACTGGCCGACGCTTCCTGCCACCTCTGCTCCCAAGGATCCCCTTCCGTCCACACTATCTGCGGCCCCCAGACTCTCTGTGGCTCCCACTTGGCTGCCATGCTCAGGTAAAGGCCTCTGGTGGTCGCCCCCACTCACGGGCTCACTTCCCGCCTCCTGGCATAGCACCTGAGCCATTCACCCCCAGCCCCTCATGACACCACGAGCCCTCCAGGGCTGTTCTCTGCACTGATCGCCTGCACACGCTGAGCCCAGTGAGGCCCCACCTGTGGGACACGGCGTGACTCCAAGAACGCAGCTCGACCCCACCCCTCGGGGTGTGGCTGAGGGAGATACAGGGGGCGGGACAGCAGGCCCCAGTCCTCCCAGGACCAGTGCACGGCCAGTCGCACCATGAAACCCTGGCAGAAATCACGGTGCCCGTGCTGTTTTTAGTTTAGTTTAGATTTTCCCAAAGAAAATCTTAACAAAATCTCAAAAAGCTAAGACAGAGAGCGAGGGCTGTGTCGGGGGGACGGTGTGGAGGCACAACAAGGCTGCCTGGGGCAGGCCGTGCACACCCCTGCAGCCTGACACCGGCCCTCACGCCGTTCCGGCTCAGCTCTGACCACAGGGACAGCGGCCGTGCGCTCTCCAGCAGGCTCTGCAGAGCCGGGCATGGGGGGAGGGGCGGTTATTAGAACTCCGCATAATTCCTTAGGCACCAGGGCATCATGGGAGAGTGAAAGGAACCAACATCTAAGGAGCCCCAGGAGGCCCCTGCTCAGAGCGCCCAGACTGGCCCCGGCAGAGCCTCGCAAGGCCACTGGGAGCTGACGCCAGCACTTCACCGAATCTCACTAGCGGAGACTCGCATCCGAGACGGCGGCGCTGGCGACCACCCTGCCCAGCAGCCCCCAGCACCCATGGGCCCCGCGAGGGCAGCTGGGAGCTCCCTACAATGCACAACTCCTCGCAGGCCAAGCTCACAACTTGGGACCGGGACACTGACTCCTGGATCCTGGATCAGCTGAGGCGCCTCACGAGCGCTTACGTCACGGCTCCTGCGCTTGAGGGTTTACTGAAGATCAGCGCCATGGCCCGCTGCCTCAACAGCCCTGGGGGAGAGGGGAGCACAGGCTGCTACCACCTGCCGGACAGGTGGGGGGTGCTGTGAGGAGCTGTCCTTCCTCCAGGCGGCAGGCCAGCCCAACAGCAGGTGAACAAGCCCCAAGACCTGTGCAACACCCTAAGTCCACCATGAGTCACGCCAGGGCTGCAGCCCTCAGCACCCAGGGCAGGTGCTGGCCCACCTGGGAACACAGCAGGGCGGTGCCCCTCACCCAGGGCAGGTGCTGGCCCACCTGGGAACACAGCAGGGCGGTGCCCCTCACCCAGGACAGGTGCTGGCCCAGATGGGAACACAGCAGGATGGTGACCCACCCAGGGCAGGTGCTGGCCCACCTGGGAACACAGCAGGGAGGTGCCCCACACCCTGCGCAGGGCACACTGGGAGAGCAGGGAGCTCCAGAGGACAGTACTAGGCCCAGCGGGAAGCACTCTGGTGCCTGTCCCAAGAGGGGAACACACTCAGTGATGGAAGGACAGGAGGAGATACAGCCTCCGAGCACTGCCCTCAGGGCCCAGCCCCCACCAGGCCACGTGGCCACACCTGACGTGGGCCTGCACTCCTGTCTTTCTGCAGGACAGAGACTGCAGCCCGGGGACCTCACAGGGACACAGCAGCGCAGCTCTGCAGGCTCCCACCCACCCGGTCCCCTCACCACACACGAAGGCGGCGGAGGCCGGCTCAAACTGCCCTCAGCAGGGGGCCAACGCCCATGGCAGCCCCAGGCCTCCACTCTGCCAGAGCTAGGTGCAGAGAAATCTACTACTGAACGCACGCTGCACTGAGCACTAAGCTTCCCACGTTAACCGCACAAAGGAGTGAGGATGCCCGGACTTCGACGGGGCAGCAACAGCAGGCGACAAGAAGCATCGGAACAGACCTAAACCCCAGCAAGCCGGAACAGCACCCGAGACCGCGGAGGGGTGGCGGTGCTGGAGGCTGAGCCCCGTGGGTGATGTGAGGATGGGCACAGCCCGCGGGGCCAGAGCCTCTGAGCACTGGAAACCGACAGACGGGGCTCGGACGCTGCTAGGGAGCCCACGAGTGTGGCTGAGGGCCCTGCAGGGAAGGAGGCAGGCGGGAGGCCCACAGGCACCCCTCCGCCTCACCACGCCGAGGGCCCGTGGAGGCACCAGCCGGCAGGAGGACAGCGGGCAGAAGACAGGTAACAAACGTGCCGTGAGGCATGGCAGGGGAACAGAAGGCGAGGTCGGGGACGCGGCAGCGAGCGGGCAGCACTGGGACCCTGTCTCCAGGGCTGGCAATGTGGAGGTGGCCTGCAGGCTTGAGGCTGGGCCGGCTGGCACAGGAGCCAGGTCAGGGGAGGGGGCCTGGAGCAGGGGAGGGAGCCTCCCCACAGAGAGCTCGGGAGATGAGAGGGGGCACCAGGGACAGAAACAGGACAGCGGGCACCCAGGAGCAGTGCCACTGCTGGTCACAAAGCAGGAAGCGGGGCCAGTGCCCTCGGGCAGCAGAAGGCCCAAAGCCTCTTATTTATTTTGAGAGGCAGAGTTGTGGGGGAGGGGAGGGGAGGGGAGGAGAGAGGAAAGAGAATCCTGCATCTGCTGGTTCACTCCCCAAACAGCTGCACCGGCTGGAGCTGGGTTGATCCCCAGCCAATCTGAAGCCAGGAGCCAGGAGCTTCCTCTAGATCTCCCACGTGCGTGCAGGGCCCAAGCCCCTGGCCATCTTCCATTACTTTCCCAGGCCACAGCAGGGAGCTGGATGGGAAATGGAGCAGCTGGGACTCGAACCGACGCCCATAGGAGATGCCAGCACTACAGGCAGCAGCTTTACCTGCTATACCACAGTGCCGGCCCTGTGGCTACTCTGCTTCAACCAAGGCACCCAGGAAAGCAGGGGATGACAGCTCAAGTGCTTGGGCCCCTGCCACCCGAACGGGAGACCAGGAGGGAACTGCAGGCTCCCGGCTTCAGCCTGGCCCAGCCACAGCTGTTGCAGGCAGCAGTCTGGGGGATGAACCAAACAGAAGATCCTCCCTCCCTCTCACTCTTTCAAATAAATAAATCTTTTTAAAAAAAAAAATAAAAAATAAAAAAGCAAGAGACTTGTGGCAGTGGCACGCCCACAGGCCAGGCCAGAGCCCCGACGGCCACACCCCGGGGTGTGTGCGCCTGCGGGGACGCGCTCTGCCTCACCTGGGCCCTATCTTCTGAAGCACGGAATAAAAACTCATAAAAAATTAAACCTGCACTTCCATGGCCCAGTTGAACTCTGAGGCCACTGGCATTTCCGTGCGCCTCTGGGAGTTCAGAACGAAGCTCTCAGTTCTGAAGCTGGGCGGGGCGTGTGCATCGATCAGCTCTCTGAGCAGCTCCTGGAGGAAGCAGCGCGCTGTGCGAGGCCCTCGGCCCGCTTTCATGTCATCCCCATCAAAACCGCCCGCCTCCGCGGGACCAGGAAAGGACAGGCTGCCTCGCCGGGCGGCAGGAGGCCTCCAACAGCCTCCTGGAACACACTGCTGGCTCCAGCCATGCAGCCCGCATACTCTGGGTACATCCACCCGGCACCCGGCCCTCCGGAGACGCGCAAGGCAAAGAAGGAACGTGTACAGACACCACAAGCCTCCCCGGGCGCCGTGGCCAGGGGCCCCGTGGTGGGAAGCACAGAAGAAAACACCCAGGCCCAGCTCCACGTCTGTGCGACCCTGATCCCCGTGACGGTGTCTACAGGGGGGCCCTTGGGAAGGGACCGGCGTCCTCATCGACCTCTCCCTCTCCACCCTGAGAGCCTGTCTTCCAGCCGAAGGGGCCCTCCCCACACCTCACACCTGCGAGGCCCGGATCTTGGACCTCTGAGCTCCACAAATGTGAGAAACGGCATCTCCATTAGCTCCCAGGCCATGGTTTCTTCCTCCAGGAACCCCAAGAGAAATCAGGAAACCTAGGGCGGCTGTCCCGCATGCCAGCAAAAGGGTGCACAGGAAGCGTCATCTTGGGGTGCCAGGAGACACAGAGGGCGAGCCCTGTTGCTCAGGCTCTGTGAGCCGTGCACGCCAGGCCTTGAGCCCTGCACTGCTCTCACAGGACACCCCCGCACAGCCTCCCTGTGCACCTCGGCCCTGAGCCCTGCACTGCTCTCACAGGACACCCCTGCACAGCCTCCCTGTGCACTTCAGCCCTGAGCCCTGCACTGCTCTCACAGGACACCCCTGCACAGCCTCCCTGTGCACCTCGGCCCTGAGCCCTGCACTGCTCTCACAGGACACCCCCGCACAGCCTCCCTGTGCACCTCAGCCCTGAGCCCTGCACTGCTCTCACAGTAAGCACCCTTGTTCTCCCCCATAAGCACCCTTGTTCTCCCCTGTAAGCACCCTTGTTCTTAGACCTGGCCACAACCGTGAGTCTTCCCCCACCCTACAGATGAGCAGACTCAGGCCCACGTGGCGTCGCGGGAGGCCGCCATGTCTCCAGCAGCACACAGCGACACTCCACTCCAGCTCCTCCAGGCTCTAGA